TCTTTTTTTTTTAATATATTTTAGCTTATTTTTCATTTCAATGAACATCTACAGAGATTTTGGAATTCCATTCATTCATTGTTGCACCCTTCTCCCGGCAGCCCCCACTCCCGGCAGCCCCCCACTCCCAGCTGGGGAGTGACATGAGCCATGGCATTACCTGGCCAGTGTCACTCCCTGAACAACTTGTGTAGACATTTTTGACTGGAAACCTCAATTCCCGTGTAAACTCATCCAAAATGCAATAAAATATTTTAGTAAAGAAATAGAAAGCTTCATTATTTCTGAGAAGAGTGAATTTGGTATTTAGGATATTGTCAGCCTTATGAGAACATCAAGTAGATTTTTATGTGGGCTGACTTAATTGCTTTTAAGTTAATTAATTAGTTAATACGTGAACACATTCATTTTGCAATAAACTCAAAATATACGGAATCATGTGGAAGGAAAAAACAAAATCGTTCTTTCCATCTCTCGTTCTCCTCGGCTTAAATTTGAGATTGCACCCTAGACATCGTGAGTGATGCGTGGTACAAAGCAGATGTTTCGGATTGTGTTCTATCCTTCCAAAGAGAACGGGTTTTTGTTTGCTTGGTTGGTTTTGCACGCAGTTGACCTGGCCGGATTCAGGCTCCAGGTGCTGGCTGTCCGCAGTCCAGCGGTCGCTTGTCTTTCAGCTGAACTGAGTGGAGTTCGTTCCCTCAGTGCCTAGGTCCGGAGGCAGCCAGCGACGCAGGCCGATGCTGCTCTCACAGCCCGGCGTTTTGTCTCTGTGCCTTCCTCCTGTATGAGTTCTCTTTCCCTCCTTGCTGTTCAGCCCCTGGGGGGTGGTGGTTGTGTCCGGTCAAGTCAGAAGTGACTCACAGCTGGCCCTCTGGTGGGTTTGCAGAGGCTGTAAATGACACTTTTCTCCAGCATAGCGGCTGGAGGTTTTGAACCATGTGCCTTTGGGCCGGCAGCCCAGCTCCTCACCACTGGTCAGCAGAGCTCCCCACTCCCCATGTTAGATGCCTCGCTCTGTCTTCACGATGTTCAGCGGGCCCACGTGGCCGCGCCGTGGGTGTCGCTGCTCCACTGGACACCAGCAGGGATTGACTCTCGGGGTCATGAGCTGTCCTCTCTCTGGTAGCCTCGCCAATGCAGGCCTGTAGGACACTGCCTGACGCCCTGAACAGCCTGGTTCGTGCACCTGGCCTCAGGTGTACGCGACTCACAGTGGCCCTGGCACAGCAGGACCCCCCACGTTGGCCGGTGCCGTCCTCACCACCTCTGCTCCATGGGAACCCAGTGCCCCAGCTGTTGCCGTCGCCTCCAGCTGTCTGCTTGCTTTTGGTCACTTCCTGTCCTTAAGGACGTTCTGACCAGTGTTTGACAGCTCTCGTTACCCGTGAGAGCATTGTTCAGGTGGGGTGTGTGGCCAGTTCCGGAAATATGAATACATCCTGGTACGTTCACGGGAGAACAGTAGTGATGAAGAGCTGTGGTAATGTCAGGTGCTTAGTTTGTGCATCTCGTGGCCCAGAGGTAAGGAATCTCACCACCAAACCAGAGGTACATGGTTTGGATCCACCAGCTGCTCCACAGGAGAGGACGGGCAGTCTCCGCCCGTGCGATTTCCCGCCTCTGAAAACCTGCAGCAGGTCAGTTACGGGTCGGCTCCGACCGTGACCACCACCACCACCACCACATCTGAGTTGTGTGTTGCTTTCCGTCACAGGGCGTGACGCTGACGGCCGCCATCGGTGGTGCGGACATGCCTGTGGTCATCACAGTGCTGAACAGCTACTCCGGCTGGGCCCTGTGTGCGGAGGGCTTCCTGCTCAACAACAACCTGCTCACCATCGTGGGCGCGCTCATCGGCTCGTCAGGGGCCATCCTGTCCTACATCATGTGTGTGGTAAGGAGCTCGCCGGGGGGCAGGGACAGCAGTGCTTCCTGGGAGTAAGTGACCAGGACTGCTTCATAGAAGGCAGTCGTAATTACGGAGATATTTAGGAACACGGTACAGAGATCTGCTGCAGTGTGCCCTGTCTGGGATAAGCCCTGAGGATTGAGCTTCGCCTCCTTGTCTTCTGTTACATATAGATTTACACATGCGTACTTCTGTGTCTGATCATATCGTCTGCCATTCAGTTCCATCTCATTGATGATTTCCTAAAGCTAAAAGTCCCTCCACGCATACTGTTTGAGGGTACTGCAGACCGTCATACGGATACGCACTACAAAATTTATATTTTCTCAGTGTGCTCTTACGCGGCTTGATCGCCTTTTCTCCTTTACGTTGTGTATCTTTGGGATTTTGGATGTTAGGATGGATTCCTTGAAGTGTGAAAGGGTTTATGTAATTATCTAAAACCAAAGCAGAGTCCCTCATTGCTGTGGAGGGAGAACCCACTCACAGCTGACCCCGGGGGCTTGGAGGCTGTGAATCACGCAGGATTCTGCTGTCTTTCTCTCGTTGTTGGTGGATTTGAACGGCTGGAGACGCCTGGCCTCTCTGCTGCCTGTCACCACTGAGCTGAGTGGTGGACTTAGCTTTACAGAAATCCCACAAGTGTTTGGCTTTAACGGACGGATTTATTCTGTCCCAGATTTAGGGCTTTTTCTCTCTGCCTCCTCTAGGGAAGCCCTTTGTCCTCTCCATTTGGGGTCTGGCCTCCCTTGGGGATCTGCATGTATGTTGGCATCCATCCCCCCAGGACCTCGAAGCTCCCAGTTCTCCTTTCTGGGTGCCGAGGTCTCTCTTTGCTGCTTCTCTCTCTTTGTTCTCCTATGAGATAAAAGGGGACACCTGCCACACTCCAGGGAAAGCCCCCTCCCATGGGCTGAGAGCTCTGATCTGAGTCAGTTATCCCCTGACAGCTGACCACATGGGATCACGGCACGAGTGATTACATCGTCACGTATTTCCCACACCGGGTTCCAGCCTGGTCAGTGCATGGCAGATGCGCCCATTATGGACTCCCTATGGTCACTGCTCTGTTGTCTCCTGAAACCTGTGCATTTGCCACGCCCACTGTCATCAGGAATGGTCTTGAAGGGTTATGGTCAGCACAGCTGTTTAACGAAAGAAAAGAAGGAAGGAACAACATAGATACTTCTTAGCTTCCTTTTTACCTTTAATTCGCTTCTTGGTAGCAAGCAAGTGTTCAGCAAGTAAAGATTTGACTAAAAACCTTTTTCAAATGATAGATCTTGCGTTTTAAGTAAATCGTTTGAGTGGTTGTTCAAGTAGAGGAATGGAACTAAGTGGAATGTTGTGAGATGCCGTTGAGTCAGGGACAACTTGTGGGGACCCTCAGATCCGAACGCTGCTCTCTTCTGCACCTTCCTCATCATCCTGACACCCCAGCCCATTGCCTCAGACACTGTGTCAGTCTGTCGCACTGAGGGTCTCTCTTTTACCAACCCCTCCATCTTTCCAAGCCTGCCTCTGTCTCCAAGGAATACCCAACGTCTCTGAGCAACATGTCCAAAGTAGATGAGGTGAAGATTTGTCAAGTTGGCCTCTAGAGAGAGTTCTCACTGCACTTGCTCCAAGAAATTTCTGTTCTTTTGACAGTTGCTGGCTACTCAGCACTTTTCTCCAAAGCCACAATTCAGAGGTATCAGTTCTCCTGTCATCCTTAGTCATTGTCCAACTCAGATGCATAGCAAGTAATTGAAAAGACCACGAATCATGTGCTCCTAACTTGTTTTTTAAATTTTTTTTATTATTAATTTCAATGAAAATTTTCAGACTTTGGATTTCCATTCATTCATTGTTGCACTTTTCTCCCCTCCCAACCCCCCCCCCCTTACTTTTCAAACTGACCTTATTGTACCTCAGTTCTTTGGAGAGATCCTTAATGCAGACATTCTGAATGGTATATTTCTCCTTATCTCCTGACTGCTGGTACCAAGGGTGGTGATGGTGGGTCCAAGTAAGATAAAGTAGTTTAATTTGGTTAATTCAGGTAGGAAAAAGGAGAGGTAGTATGTCTTCAATGTTGTTGTCTTGTACTCCAAGAGTCAGAACTCCAGGAGGTTTTCATTAAAAATTAGATGTCTTTATGGTTTTATGGGAAAATCTGCAGTTAGGAATCTCTCCAAATTATTGAGGAGTAATGATGTCAGATTGAGGACTGAGGTCTGTCTGACTCAAGCCGTGGTCTTTCCAGTTACTTGCTATCTATCTGAGAGCTAGACAATGAATAAGGACGACAGAAGAATTGACGCCTTTGTGCTGTGGGGTTGGGGAAGAGCACAGAACATCCCATGGACAGCCAAACAGACAGATACGTCTTAGAGAGGGTGCAACCAGAGAGCTCTTTGGAGGCAAGAATGATGAGGCTTTGCATGTTTCTAGTGGGTGCTGTTCCTTGCAGAGGACACGATGCTGGGAAGAGAGGAGGGTCAGCGAAGGAGAGGAAGACCCTCAACCAGGTGGATTCACACAGTGACTGCTGCAATGGGCTCCTGTGTGTCAGGAAGTGTGAGGACAGCACAGGATAGAACAGGGCTCAGATCTTTTGTTCATAAGGTCGCTATGAGTCGTACTTAACTCGACGGCAACATGGTTTTAGAACACGGTGTTTTCCTTAGAAGTCTTAGAGGTGCAGTGGCTAAGGACTGGCTCACCTGTCCATCCAGAGGTTGGTGGTTCGAATTCAGCTTAAACTGAAAGTCTTGTGGGAATTAGAATGCTGAAGTTAGCACCTTCTGGTAAAATGTTGTTTTCTATTGCTTTGACCATACTGTAAAACAAAGACTTTGATAGTTGAAATAAAAAATAAACTGAGAAGTTTTTAAATGAAAGCACTCAGGTTACTTGGAACTCTTTATAGCCACGTGTGTCTCATGTCTGAAAGGGGTCAGACTTCAGAATTATAGAATTTAGGAAGGAGAGGAAAAATTATTTGATGATGCTAGAAATAGGATTTTCTCTGGAAATGAATTTTTAACCCTAAGTTTGATGGTGCTTCTTGTGATGAATTTGAATGATCAGCAGGGGGCAGCAGACTCTCATTATTATTTAAGAAATGTCTGGTTTGTCGGGAAACAAATTTTAAAATTAAATGAGAGAAATTGAGGTGTTTT